TGGATGGGACACACGAAACATAAATTATGAAAAACGCTTCACTTGCGCCACGAAAAAGCATAAAAACAAAAAACAAAGCAGTTGGCAAAAAGAAAGAAAGAAAGAAAGAAAGAAAGAAAGAGAGAAATTTGGGAAACCGTACCCAGAATGCAGTGCAGACATGTGCATTAAATGGTTAACATGATTTTTCACTCATTAACAACGCGTCCGCCGCGGGGGGCAGGGGCGGCCTTGTGTTTTTGGCATAATTTATGCATGTGTGCGTGGCCATGTGTGAGTGTGTGTGTGCGACGAAGTGTTGAGAGAAGCACCGAAGTTTGTGCGAAAATAAAAATGCGCCGTTTTGGCGTCTGACGATGCAACGAAGCGTGAGGCTCGGTGGTTACTTACTTTAAAGGTTTTCGACCAAGTTTCCCTTGCAGTATTTATATTATTTATTTTCAAAGCACTATCGAGCTAGAGTAATGGTCGTAAAATACTACACTAGACACCATGGGCGTAGACACCAGGATTAAATCTAGGGAGGGGCAAAATTTTGTTGGCCAAGTGTTTTATTATCAAATTATTTGCACTGGAGTGAAAACACATTAATAATATGAAAAATAGTGAAAAATTAAATTCAAAATAATGAAAATGTGCTCATATAGTAAAAAGATAATAGGAACGATAAACTACTTGTAAGACTATAATTTGAGAAGTTCAATTTATAAAGTAAAGTCTTCATTTAGCTTAAGCATATTCTCAGAATGGGGCAAAAGTAAGTTTATTCTTCATAGAATCTAATTTTTTAAACTATGTGAACCGAGCCCACATACGGAATATAAATTGACCTTTTCCAATATTCTGAGCGTGTTGTCGTGCGACTAATTTTGGTATTGTCATATCTGCCCAAATAAAAAATGTACTATTTTTTTAATGTTTTTTCTCGCATTTTAGTGATTTTATAAAACACGATTTGTTATTGTTCTTATATGCTCCGCACACTGCAATTGGTCCAAGCTTATGCGTCGTAACACATTTTCAACCGGCTTTATCACAGATCAATATTCAGTTATAATTAAGACGCGTATTATAAAAACCGAAAAGGGAAATACTTTTATACTTTTGCGACCATCGATTTTCGCATACCCACGCTAGTATATTGGGAGCATACCTTCTTCTTATGTTTGATTTTGGAAAAAATTACTCATGTCTTTAATTGTAGATACTAGATTACCAAATGGAGTCTGACGCAAGGTGCCCGCTAGACTAGACTAGACACTAGACTAAAAGCTTAGCTAATTCATGTTGTTCAACTGCTCTATAATTAGAATTTCGCCTTGACTTTTGTTTTTATTTAGTATCACAAGGACCTTACTAAATACTCATCACTTTCCACTACTCGTATAGACCTTTTCCTACTAACACGCACATTTGATTCTGATACCGCAAAAGTCTTTTGCTGAGCAACTAAATCGCAAACTTTAGTGGCTCATTTATATTTGAACAGATTCCCATGATCCACTAACCAACAATACGCAATCAATAGGCTATGAAGAAGCCAAAGTGCAATCGAACTAATGCCGAAGAATTTGAATTCATAATTCATATGCGCCACACAGTCTGCGGCAATCAAAATGCCAAAAAGTAGCAGTCGGGCGGTCTACAAAACCGCAGCAGCAGCTTCAAATTTAAAATGCAAACGTCCTCCGCGCCACAGCCGCCGCATCCACGCTTTGAGGCCCACCTTGCCCGGCGCCCGTCCGGCAGCGACTTCAACTCGGAGTCGAGCACAAACGACATAATTATAGCGTGTCTGCTGCAGCTAATGCAAACAAACATGCTGGGATTATGATTTGGGGCTGCCAGACAGCGCTGCGATGAGGAACCGCTGAATCGGACGGATCGGACGGGTCGGACCGACGGGTAATAGACCGATAGAGACAGACAGAGCCTCACGAAGCGTGCGCCAATTGCGTTGACGTCGCCAACGACGACGTCGATGATGACGGCGACCAGTGCTGACCCGTAACAAGTAGCTGGCGAAATGTTTAAAATTGGGTTCTACGTGTTGCACCACAACGCACAGAGATTGGCAACACTTGGTCGGCAGAGAACTGCAGATCGTGCGATGCCAAAGATTTCCCGCTATTGCCATTGCCCATACAATGGTTCAGTTTGGCTATGGAGTTGAACAAATTGGCCAAATATGGCAGGGGAAAAAAAGGGTATCTTGAACTATACGTATTGTTGCGATTCAGAAGAACTTAGAGCGTATACCCAAAGTTAATCGACGGTATACTTCATATTAATCGCTATATAGTCTGACACTACAAAATTAACATATTTTTATTCAGAGTCGCCCCGCTAATAAGTCGCATTTTTCAAAAACCCCTCTTAAAGCGCAGGTTTCAGATCATCTTAACAAGAAGGTAGGAAAAATCTTGAACTATACGTATTATCGCGAGTCAGAAGATCTTAGAGCGCATACTTAAAGTTAATTGATGGTATACTTCATATTAATCGCTATATCGTCTGACACTACAAAATTAACCTATTTATACCCTGTGCCCAAAGGGTGACAGGGTTACTAGTTTTATGCGAATGTACATACATAACAGGCAGAAGGAGGCGTTGCAGACCCCACAAATTCTTGATCAGGATGACAAGACGAGTCGATATAGCCATGCCCGTCTGCCCATCCGTCTGTCCGTCCGTCTGTCCGTGTGTTCGTCCGTCTTTATGAAAGCAAGGACCTCAGAAAGTAAGAGCTAGAATAACCAAATCTGGTATCTAGATTCTCCTAAGTCCGAGATAGGACGAGTTTGTGTTTTTTTCTTTTCTGATGCACCCCCAGTCCCCCGTTATTCATGATTTTTTATAACTCCCGTAATTCTTGGAATTTCAAAGTCCAATTTGAATATTTACATCCAGGTAGTGATTATGTGTCCGAATCTCTGGCCAAGCTCAGATTGGAGCAGTTGTTATTGTCGCTGCTTTAACTTATTGATTCAGATGTAAGTGTAATCCGTAAATAATAAATTTTGTTAATTAATTAAATTAATGAAATTTTTTTAATTTTGTTTTTTGTGGTGTGGGTATTTAGGAGGGTATTTAAGAGTTGAGTCCACTCGAGTCTAGCATTCCTTTCTTGTTTAATTTATAGTCGCCCCTCTTAAAGCACAATTTTGCGATCAGCTTAACAAGTAGGAAGGAAAAATGAATAATAAATTTGGTTATTCTATTTTTATACTTCCCGAGATCCTTGCATACCATCGCGCACACGGACGGTCAGATGGACATGGGAATGACTTGGCTTTTCATACTGATGAATAATATAAGAATATACATACATGTTGCATACATTCAGTAAAGTGCACACTAAAATTTAAACAACTTTTTATTTAATCCCATACACTGCTCAAAATTAGCATTCAAATCGCGTAACTCCCGCCATAGTCAGCTTTTTTAAAAATTCTACTCTACAAAATACTTTTGAATGCATTTGCAATAAAAAGCTAAAATTTTGCAGCTTTCGTCATTGACTGCCGTTTATTGTTTAATAAATTATTACAAAACAAGAATGAAATGCTGAAACTAAAACAATAATGTGTTATTATATTTATTATCTACTTTTAATTTAAAATCATTTATTTGACAAAGTGACAAAGACCCCACTGTGCTGAGCGCTCATTTGATTTTGCAAGGCTTTTAATTTGATGCACCCGCACAAGAAATCGCTGAACACTTAGAGCTGAACTTCAACCACTCGGATGAGTAGGGCTAAGCCAGACCCAGATGTATCAGAAGTAGTGCACTTCAATCATGTGCATTGCGATATCGAATCGATTGGCAATGCTTGCGAAATAGGCCGACATGTGCAGGGCAGGACAAATGAATCTGAGTGCACTCCACTCGCTGCTCCCATACACGAATTTATAATTTCGCCTTTAACAATTTGTTGTGCGGCTCCCGTTTGGTGGTTTCCCAATGTCATCACCCTCATCTCTGCCAGCGCCACCTTCGTTTGCGAAAATTCTTCATGGGAATTACATACGTGATAGATTGTTTTTCCCCCAAGTCGCTTGATTGGTTTTCTGTATTTTCTGTATTTTGATTACTGGTGTGCGATTGCCGACATTTCATATGCGACGTGACTGCATTGTGAATCGAAAAAAGAAACATCCATAGCGGCAGAGTTACCTTAATAACAACGTGGCACATGAACATTCATATGCGATATCTAAATGGCTTCAGTTGTAATCTCCATAAATGGGAGTCGGATGTCTATGGTACTCTAGTGTTTAAGAAAGCAGTCAGCCTTGTATCAAAGATTAAAACGTTTTATATCACTGAGAAGGCTAAAAGGCTGTTATGATAAGGAGGCGTGGGAGATCCCACATATATTCTTGATCACGTCCGTCTATAAGGGTTAGAGCGACCAAATCAGCTATGCAGATTCTTCTAAGTCCAGAAAGAACGAACTTATATATTCTGTGTTTATTTTCATTGTTAGCATCATGGTAACTTAGAATGAATCCTAAATTGCAATGCTATTTTATTGCCATAGCAACCAACCATGCTTTCTTCTATCTTTTTCAAATAAGTTGCATTTGAAACTTATCGTTAGTTTCAATAGTTACAATACTTACAGACAACCGTGGCTAAGAAATTTCCAGCCATTTCTAAAATCCAGGCGTTCATTTGGACAATCGAACGGACGAACAGATCGAATTATCTTATTTGATTAAGATTGATTAAGATTATATATATAGATATTTCCTTGAACTGTGTATGCATGTAATCTGCACAATTGTTATATACTTGTTAAGGCGTCGAATACAGTAAAAAGGGACGCATCCAATTTTGTTAGTGCATTGCCTAACGATCGAAAAGAAAACTAATCGGGCTACCCTAAACGAGATCGTAGCTACGCCCATGAGTTTAGAATAAGTACATACAAATAGTTTTTGAAATACCTCTCAAAACGTTCACACGCAAAATTCCAGTTTTTCCTTAAAAAATTCTAAATCATGGACACCTTTAAGTATCTTAGGCCTGCCTGGTGGTCGATATGTTTGGTCCTGTTGCTGATTTTACAAGTTGGAAGAGGAGCCACTGGCCGTACGACTTTTTGGGGCCAGGAAGGCCTACCTAAATTAGCTGAATGTGCGCTGGATCTGTCTAAAAAAGCTTTAAAACCGTAGACATACCAAATGGTAGTTATAAGATTCAACGTTTCATTGCTGTAATAACTGCAAAAGATGGATTGGAAAATATAAAATCACAGCTTCTTGCAGTTGGCAACAAATCAACGAACACGAAGAATAATAAGCCTGCATTAAATATAAATCTCACAATGCTATCAACAGAACGCAGGAGACAACAAATGTTTAATGCTGACCCCGACAGTACTGCGGCAACAAGGCGCTCGGGCGCTCAGGCGTCCAGACATCCCATCACTCGACCAACTCACAACAGGTGGTACATGTTGATGTTGCTCCTACTCAACGACCAAGTGGGCTCCCATTTGAGTGGGCAGTGAATGTACAAAGCGGGGCACATGTAAGCGCATTAAGCCAAATCACAGAACATGCTTAGCCCCAGATTTTGAATAATGTTTTGCGTCGATAAACTCAATATCAGACAATAAATCTCCGAGCGCTGCAAGATCAAAAGTGATCCAAACGATTTTCCTATTAAAATTACGCTAATCCACAGACACTCGTCAATGTCACAAGGGGTCAGTAATGACCACGGGCATGTACTGCAAAAAAGCTCTCTCATGCATATCTCTGTTAATAGAGTCGTGATCAACGACCACGAAACAACCTGCACATGGGACTGACCACCTACAAGTATTTGTTTTTGGGCGCACGGCCGATCGGCCGATCGGCTGATCGGCTGATCTCGGTCTGGCCGTTACTGTGGCTGCTGTTCTTGCCATTGGTGCTGTTGGTGCTGTTTCTGTTGTTCAATTAAACTCCTTGCCAATAAATTCTATGCAGTAAGTCGTTTAATCTAAATTAAGCACCGACCACTGCCGATGGTTCGCCTCTCTATTGAACGGGCAATTTCCATCAGCAACATCATGTGTCATAAACAAGTTGCAAGGCGCCGACAACCGACGCCAATACATGATCATGGTCATGGCCAAGGTGCATTTCCATAAACGACAATCCGGCAGACAACATCAGACAACAGACAACAGTCAGCCGTAGCCGCAGCCGCAGCCGCAGTCGGAGCAACAGCAACAACAACAGTCAGAAAGGCAGGGCATAGATTCTGTGCCATGGGCAAGTGCACTCGCTTCCTGGTCTCATCGTTTTATGCCAACTCGCAAATGTTCGACTTGGACTTGGCAATCACCGCGAGCCGCAGGTGGTAAAAGGCGCTCAGTTTCTATCCGTCTGGCCCTGCATCCTGTGCCAGCAATTGAATTGCACTAATTGCATATTAAAGCTCAAATTAAAGCAAACAAATTGAATGCGCCCAAATTGAGTTACTCGAGTTACTCGAACCCGAGCCCGAGCCTGAACCCGAGCCCCAACTCCAGTTCCAGCTCCAGCTCCATTTCTAGCCGTGTGCTAATGAACGACGCGCACTGCTCCAATCTCCAATCCCAGTGTGACTTGTTGGCTTTTATTTCGCTTAATTAATTGGCAAGCCACAAAGAAAGTTGAAAAAAGACGTTCATGACAATTACAAGCCAAAAGTGCACTTCGGCAAAAAAGGAAGCTGTCAACAGAGCGCTAGGGTTGAATCAGCCTGCCTCGCCTAGCCTGAGCGGGCCCTGGCCCGGCCTGACCTGACTTGGCCACCCCCACCGCCATAGTCGTACTGGCTCCAAAAGGCAACAAGAAACCAAAGTCAAGTGTCCTTGGAGAATATGTGGCGTGCATGTTGCAATTCTTTCATTTTTTGGCAATTCTAAAAAACGAAGTAGAAGACAGTCATCCAGCTTGTTCTTTATGTCGCTTATTTTTGGGGGCATTTCCTGAAGTGGTTCAGTGGTATGTCTGTCGGGTGCGACTACCTTTGCAGCATGTTGCATGTTGCATGAAGGGTTAATTAAAACGCACAAAAGCCTGCTTATGGAATGAATATGACGAGGAAGTATGAGGGTAATTGGGTAGAGAATCTGGTAGGTTGCCTGTAGGGAATGTATTTTTTAAGCTTATTTTCTCAACTTTCACGCAAGACCCAAACAATTCAGAAAATACATACATACATACATACATTGCACGAGCATTATTAACTGTGGCTGTTCGGCTTTAGGTCGCTTACCAAAAACTTAATCAAAGCAAGGAAAGTTTTCGCTTGGTACAGAAATTTATTTAATGCTTAAAATCGTTCCCTTCCTTGGAAGATAAGTACTTACTCGTATATGTAGCAATCATATTCTTTAACATTTTAAAACTTCCGGTGCCCCGACTTTTCCATAACATAGCAAATGATAAAAACACCCAAACTTTTTAGAGCTATTTAGTGATTATTAATAATTAAATCAATACCAAACCTAAATATAAAATTTCAAATATAATTGTTTGATAAGTTGCTTACTTTTTTTGAATTCAATAAGCCTAAATCATTCCGAGCAATGCAAATATCTTACTTGCACTAAAAAGGAAACAAAAATATACAACAAATTAAAAACCTTAATTGCCAGTCTGTATGTTTTTCTTCATTTTGCTTGTTAATTCATAAAGCTGCAAAAGAAGCGAACAAGAAAATTGTATAAAATAATGTACAAGAATAAGTTGCGAATAGAGGTATAGCATACTTAAAGGCATAAAACAATCAACAATCGGTCGTCATGAAAAATGTAAAAACTCTCGAATAAAATGTACTAATACATTATTATTCTGCTTTAAAATAACATAAAATATAAATATAAAAGAGAATATAAAAAGCGAACGTAAGAAACAATTTTTGTTGGGTCTTGAAACAACGAAGAAATACTTACAAAAAACTGCGTAAAAATACCAAAATTTATCGCTGTTATCGGCAATATTTTCCATAGAGTATCATAACAGAGAATGCCAGCAATTGCGAGAAAGTTCCTTTATATAACTGGCGCCAACTGCATTCACTGCCATAAAGGCCCATACATGCAACCAATATCCAAGTTCAGAGAGGCAAAACAATTTTCCAATTTTCACATGCGAATTATGGCTGCATGGTTAGTAAGCAGATACGAAGTTTGAGTGATTGATAGCATGTTATGAGTTAACATGCTATTATTAGACCACAAGATGCTACCATCAACAACAGCCACAATCGTTAAGAAAGTCTTGCCTAGCGCCAAGTTAACCAAATGTTTACTCACGATTTCTTGCCTTACTGCGCGGCTTCATTTTTTCCCCCTTTTTTTTTTGGGTATTTGCCAAAAGTGGAAAATTGCGCAAGAGAAATTGATTTCACATGATTTACGTGCAAACGGCAACAAGCGTGTGGTTTTCACAACAAAAACAACAACTACTAATACTTCTGTTGCTGCTGCTGGTGGTCAAAATCGCAAATCAATTGGCCCAGTCAACGTCGCGTCGTCATCGTTGTGTGTTCCTGGGGAGTCGTTGTATGTTTCTGGGTCCATGTCTGGGTACGGTACGTGGAGCGCAAAGCAAATAATCATATGGCCACAACCACAGCCACTGCTTGTTAAGTGTCCAATAGATGGCGCTAGTGAATCACGCATCTATCAATGAAACTGCTAGTTGAGAGCTACTTGCTTGTAACAGTTACCAGTTAGTAGTTGCTGGCTGGTAGCTCCACAGCCCCTGTGCATTAACATAATATACAATGGTGGACAGAAGTAATTAGAGAACACAATGCTAAATCGAAAACCGCCTGTTTCTGCAAACTGAGAGAAGTAACGGTGTGTATTCAATTTTTAAGAGAGACGATATTAAAAGCTTAAGGAGAGCAAAAGATTGCTCTGACAATGTAACGCATTTCTTTTCTGCGATCATCTACGTAGCACATTGTGATTCCTCTGCTGGACAAAAGTAATTTGACATTGCTTTTCATATTCATTTTCGAGGTTTCGCCTGCGGTAAACATCACGTGGTCTAAGTTTTGACGTGATTTTTTATGTCTTTATTAATACTATAATAATCACTGCTTGATCGCATTTTTTGTTAAATTATAGGCAAAAATGTAAAATAAGTTTACTTATTAATGCAAATATTTCTTTAGAATGCCTTAGCAAATAAATCAACATACATACCTTGACAAACAATTTACATATTACCAAATAAACAAAATGAAGAATGATGATTCACTCAAAAATAAGCTAAAATCGGAAAGACCACGCAAAACAATGCAATTAAAAGACCTCATAATCCTGGGGAGATTTAATGAAAATGTGATGCTTAGAGCTAAAGAGCACCATTAATTATCAATGAGTAGGAAATCTGTCGAAAGACGGTTAAGGGGGCCGATTTTTTACTTGTATACATTTGCATTCAAAATTGTCTTCCGAGTTATATAAGTAGGATTATTTCCGCACTTGCAAAATGTCAAAGTCGCGTGTTTGGCCAGCAAATGGAGCGCTAATATGTATAACTAACTAATGTAGTATAACCCGCACACATGCAAAAGTATTCGATTTTATATTATTTAAACGCTTTTAAATTCAATTCGCGAACGCAAACGCCACAAAGTCAATGTCAACCAATGCATAAAACCCACAAATGAATGAATGCCAAATACACTATGCCTTTTAAATATTAAGCATGTATATACAAATATTGCATAATAAATAGCTTAGAGACATAATTTATGCATAACTGTTTTGTACAGTTATAGTCGCTAGCACGTTAGTGGCCACTTCGAATATGTTCGATACGTTTATTTGATCTCTTTGAATTTTCTTTGTGTTGCTAACATGTTCGTATATCTCGCCGGGTTGTTGACACATATCTCGATTCTATTACTAAAAAGAAAACACAAATAGAACTCAAATATGGCCTATCGTTCCATTTATAGTATTCTCTAGCGGCTCTTGCAAACTTGTTTCAGATTTGTGCATATCATCTAAAAAGCCGCACCCCAGACACACACTCTTAAGATGCCAGCTCTCATATTTAATTTCATACCTGTGTGTCTCCAATCATAATTATACATTAGTCATATATATCTCTAGGCGAAGAAAGTGTACTTAAGCTTTTAAAATGAGTTCTGATTCTAGGTGATTAAATTGTACATTTCAGCACCATTTCAATGCTAAGTGGCACTTCTCTTAAATAAATATGTTCGATACAAAACGAAGACTTCAACAAACTCTTTGAAATAGAATAATACACCGAGGTTCCTTTATAGCTATCATTATCAGATACTAGATAGAGACTGACTGGATATTACACTAAATTTGAAACAGCTTTAATAGAAATAATAAGTATGATTCTAAAAATATTTGTAAGCATCATTTTCTTTTTTCAAATACTGAGGAATTTTTAATGATGAGCTGTGTTCGTAATATAATTATTTGATTAAAATAATGGCAATAATTTAGAGCTGCCAACAGTTCAGAAATTTAAATTAAGCTATTTGAGTATTTATCATAACATTTAATTCTATGTGTTTTCTTTGTACTTATTTATTTATTCAAAGAATTGCTAAGAATGAGTCAAACGATATGTACAATTTATACAATTAATTGCAATTATCTTGCCGCACAAAGCCCATTTTCAATGCTTCTAAGCAACCAATATTGTTCTTGCCATGCCAGTTCCGCAATTTTATTTATAGAACCAGTTGGATCAGTCAATACACGCGCACTTCTCTACTACCAAACTATAGGAAATCGAAGCAAAATTCATAACAAACATACGTTAGTTTAGAAAAATCTAAAAAAAAAAAAAACACAACAACCCAATTCATAGATAAACAAATGATAAACGACCATCGCAACAAGACGCGACAACGGTATGGGTAACTGGTCAAACAAATGAAGACATTTGTGTTTTAAGCCAACAACACACACGCAACAACAGTAACAACAAACACTCTGTAAAAGTACATTAAGTAGTCAGACACAAAAGATGCCGAAAGTGCAACAGGCCACTTGGAAAGACAGCGCCTGACACCATTTAAAGTGACAAGATAATTAAAATTTCATAAATTGAATAGCCAGGCTGCCACCGCCGCCACTGTCGGCTACGGCAACGATGCTCGGATCGGTCGCAATGTCAATAGCTCGGCACCTAAACGGGCATGACAGTGAAAAGTGAGAGTCACTGTGAGAGAAATTATAGCAGATACAGCCGCCGATGACGATGAAAACGGCGACATGATAACGAAGCAGTTAAAAGATATGCTAAAAAATACTGGTTTTCGATGCGTCTCGCATTCAAAAACAAGAAAATGTCGGCTTGTGTAGCGCAGACTCTATGCTCTATTCCCAAAAAGTGGCCCAAGCTCGCGGAGAATGAAAATTAAAATATGATTATAATATAGACGTTCTTTATGGACCTTTAGTGAAAAGCACAATTTATTCCCATGTTTTGAAAACAATGGGCCGAAATCTTTTTTGCTTTGTAACAATTTAGATCACTTTAAATTTAAGTATCAACTTTTTCAAGCTGAATGTCACTGAAAGGAAACCAAAATGAAATTTTTAACACGTTAGTTTAGTTTGATATCGTATTAATATGCAACATCATATTTTATAGATATTTGATGCAAGCAGTAATGAGTATATATATTTACATTATTATTACAATGTAATTTGCTTTTCTTAAGAAACTTATTAGATTGATTTTAATAAAGTTTCTTTAAAAAAGATATCATCATATTGTTGCGTGTTTGAATTAAAGTGAATTTTGTATTTCCCTTTGGATAGATTTTCATCAAACAAATGTGCTAGCCCCAAAAAAAAAAAATAACTGAAATATTTATTTAAAATTAATTTAAGTGTAAGACACACGCCGGACAATTAACATTCCTGGTTATAAGAATCAAGTTCTTTCTGCTGAATGTGTTAACAACTATGGCTTTTCGCTACTCTTAGCAAGAGTATACGATAAACGATAATAATAAACAACAAACTGTCACTACAAAGACTTTGGCGTCTGCTCTAACCAGCGCGGCCTGACGCGGCGACTAGTCTGGCGTCGATCTGCTGGGCTGGGAGGCACTTGGCATGCGCATGCGCTACCGTTTTCTTGGTCAGTTGTATTTTAGCCATTAACACGTACGGTGCTGCCCTCGTCTGCGCCATAGTCAGTGCGCGTGAAGTGTAAAAATAAAAAATAAAATTTAAAACACAAACATAAATCGCATATAGAAACTAAAAGTAAATTAAAGTTTTTTAACACACTTTCGAGTTGTTTGGAAAAGCGAAAGTTTTTTGTGGACTGGGCTTATTAACCGTTTATTGCAACCCATAAACACAAGCCGCAAACCTAAAAACAAATATACAAAAAATCATATTCCGTGAACAAATAAAACACGCAAAATCGCAAGACACACACAATCAGCAACCTTCAAAATGCCAGGGGCCAGTTCACATCCACGTCTGTTCTTCTATTTGCTCTGCGCTGCCTCACTCTTGGCCGTTTCCAAATCGGATGCCGGTAGTACAAAGAACTCATATTTTATGTCGTATTTCTACTATCTACTTGTCAATTTTATCAATCCCTTTGCAATGCCTCTTTTCTACCGCTTTGTAAATATTTGCCTAAAGTAGAAAAGGCACATTGTACTCCCGATAAACCTACGATTTTACTCTATAACTTTACTTTAGTTTACTTAGAATAACGTACTGTGTAAATAAGTATGTATATGTGTTGCTTAGTGTGTGGAAATCAGTCGATATAATATAATGTTTGTATAAATATTTAGTTTACGAATTTTCGTTTATTTCCAATGTTTTAGTTATCGTGTATATATGTATATTGGAATACTCGTATGCCTTAGCAGTACACACTCTCGTATGTATTTGTTCCCTGTGTTAAACACTCAATTCTTTATTAGTACATAAATATAGCGCAATTGTGATAACTTAATGAGGCACTGTGTTAATTTTATTTTACAATAAAATATGTATATACCAGTTTCAATTTCTTGGTGTGTTTTACTTGCCGTTTTAATTTATTAAAGGTGTATGCTGTATGATTTAAGAACTCTTAATTATAATTTAAATAATAAAATGTGTTATTCCAAGGACGAGCTCAACTCTAATAAGATAAACATATATTAAAACATACAGCGAGCTTTGAGAATTTGGTTGTGGTTTTTGTAATACTAGCTAATAATACTAAAATACTTGAATCTTCTTCAATATTATAATATCAATTTATAAATCGTTGCTGCTGGAAGTTTAATACTTTTTATGCGGCGTCTGTAGAAATATCCAAATTTGGAATTAATCGCATATTTAGGCTTAGAAATTGTAGCTCAGTATCTGGATAATTGGATATTGCAAGCTACCGCATTTTTGAAATATACTTAAAGTTGGCAACTTTTTGTAAGCTATAATTATTCTACGGAAACAGAGGGATGTCTATAATGAAGTAACATACAAGTATTACACAACTAAGCTCCATATTCAGGGCCATATGTACGAAGAAGGCCTTACAGATTTTTACAAAGACTCCATGTACAATTTAACAACATATTGTACAATTTCTTACTAAAACGTGCACAGGTCATAATAGATTACAACAAAAAACGTGACAACAAACCAATGTCTGTTGCTGCCACTTGCATACAAACATACTCACATACTTGTATATGTATATGTACCTTGCATATATGTATATACTTGTATGTGGTATGCACATATGTGTCTGTGCCTAAGTAAAACCTCCGAAAACAAAGCAAAAAAATTAAAACTAAGTCACATGCACACATTAATGAACAACACACGTTCTTTGCGTACTTGACTAGTTCGAAGTTTATTTTTGGGACATATTTTTGTTAGCGCATAATAGTCGTAACATATATGTTATTTATATATTATTTACACTGATCTTGAAATATTCTAAAAAGTCCCCACATTCGGAACAGGTCGAGCGCAAAAACCAAAGCTGCACACCAGAATATTAATGAGTTTGGTCTGCAAAAAGTTAACGGCGTTTTGAGTAAAGCAAGGGGCAACCCAAGAGCTCTCCGATATACGTATTACCAGTTTTCTGCTGTAATCACTACCTGCCTCTCAAGCATTTTTTCATGTTGTCTGCTGTTACCTACAACAGTCTGCCTTGGCTCTCTCGGCCATGATCTTGACCATTGAGCGAGCTGCTGCTTCTTCGCTCCGTCGCCTTTAGCTGCTCTCATTGACATCAAAATAGTTGTAGACGTCGGCGGGCTATACTTTGGGAGTAGTCAAGGTTAAAAGTTGAAACTGTTAGCTGCTCCGCTCGATGATTGTATCGGAGCCGTAGCTACTCGTACGTCAGCTACTCTTAGGCGGAACTATTTAATATGCGGAAGTCCACTTGAGATGATTAAGCAAAAAACTCGTTGGTTCGTTGGCTGGTTGGTTGGTTGATTTAAAATTGTTGTTGCTCTCGATTTGTATTTTGTTTGGTTTTTTTTTTTTTGCAAAGAACTTGAGCCACTAATCTCGATTTTATGAAGAAGCTTCGCGAAAAAGTTTGTCAAAAATGTAGAATCAAGGTAACTTCTCTGATTAGTTAATGTAATCGAACTCACCAAATAAGTGTTATACTTGTATATCAAATTTACATTATATTTCAAACTTAATACAAATATTCGAATTGTTTTGGACGGCCATATGGCGCAATTTCCTTTTCAGTGAGTTATTGGGATTTATGTTTTTGATTCTAGACAGATTCCTTGCCACTAAACCAGCCTAAGCCTTCACCACCTCTATTCAATTTTAATACACTTCCTTCAACAGTATTATAAATTACACTAACACGCTCCTGCAATTTGTGTGTGTAGTGCTGGAGGGAAATGTTTTCGCTAATAAATTTGTTTAGGATTAGGGTAGGACCTAAGGTCTAGGAGAGTCTAGATAACAGGTTTGGAGAATGTGGACTCAACATTCTCCGAAATCCAGGCGTTCATCCAGACTACGGCTATAACGATTCGTCTCGTCATGTTGATTAAGAATCTACTCTATGGGTTCGGAGATGCTTCCTTCTCCTTATTACTTACTTTACGCAAAATGAGTTAAATATGAGTTATTTATTAATATTACTATATGTACTCAGTACATACGAGACTTGAACAAATATTTTTTGAAAATATCGCTTGCAATTACAATTTTAAAGCTTTGAGCGACCAGCAAATGTATCTTAAGCAAATATTTAATTGCTACTAATTTCTGGGTATAGTGAACTTTTAAAAGCGATTTGAACTCACAATTGTATATATGTATCCATGCGGCTTCCTCAAAAGGCAGCAAACCAATCAGTCACACATCATTGCATTGCTTTTAAACACCGATTATATAGTGCCAGTGCAGCAGCCCAAGGACGATCTGGCCTACGAAGCAGCAGTCCAATTGGGGGCATTTAATCATCGTCTTAACCTGCTAGCACACGAGGAAGAAGCCCGACAGCTTGCTCTACCAAATATAACTATAAATAACATAGTCAATCGTATACCTTGCTCCTGTGACACGGGCCTATGCAAATGCTGTGCAGGTAGGTATATAGAGTATAGGCAAATCGTTCTGTCAATTGCTAATTTGTGTCTTGATTCTACAGGATTTCTGGCCGTCATTGGCATGAACAGCTGCACCGAAGTGGCCTACCGGCCTGATGAATTCTCATTTGAGTTGCGCATGCGCGTCAATAATAATATTTGGTTCCGACGCAAGGTCTCGGGTCAGAATCCACCGCCCTTCTGCTTCCGCCCTCCTCGTTTCAACTTTGCCCGCGCTTGCATCCAGTTCCATGACATCTGGTTTGTGGGTCGCAATATGCATGTCTGCATGTACATGTCGGGCCAATTCCAGGGCTTCGAGCTATTCGAACGGTAAGTGTGTGAAAATGCAGGCTATTTCTTCAAATTATCTTCTATTTTTTAGAAACTTTGATTGCCTGCTGTTTGGCGAGCGGGGCGTGAAGATTGTGCCACCAGAGCAGGGCTATCCGGTACGGCCTAATGATGTGGAGATTGACGATGGAGACGACGATATCGAGGACTATGATGAGAATGTGGTGCGCAAACGCCACATTAGTGTAGCCTAGAAACTTTCGCGTAGTAGAAATTAAGCTAATTATCTAAGCTATTTATTGTTATGCTTGTATCCCCTCCACGAATCCATTGTTTATTTATTAAAGCACGCCAGACTCTTTACAAATTTTCCATTCATGCCCAGAACACTTGCCTGCCTAATCACTTGAAAGGAAGCGCCATCACAAACGCCTAAAGTGGCGACCTGTTGCCTTTGAGTTCCATGTGTGAAAACTGCAAAGTGACGTGCCAGCGTGTGATGTGGCGTGAAATGGGAATATGAATATGCCACAACCCCCACCGCCATTGCATGCAACAGCCGGAGCCATGCATTCAAGTGCAAAATAAAAGGCACAAAGGGCTGCAAATATTTTCTAAAGGATAATGCAACGGCAGCAAGCAACATAGCCAGCTACACTGCAAGCTGCAATGCATGTGCAACGGAGTTGTCGGGCCTCGAACCAGTCGATGGACTATGCATATGAGCTAGATCACATAATGATTTGTTTATTCTTAATATAGCAACTATCGTATACTAGCAATGTTACTTCATTAAGTTAGTTGAGCGTTCAAAAGCATTTCAAACTGTTCAAGCAAATACATACAATTTGGAAAAGGACCAAGAACTGTGCAACTCAGCCATAAGAACTAGAACGCACATCACTAATGTGCAACTGCAGCGTGGGAAGTGCTTGGGATGGGTGATGAGGCCTGCATAGAGGCTGGCTGGCAGGCATTTGAATGCATATGCACAAACACTCTCGTAGATGTAGGCGTCGACTTTGCTGCACTCGGTTGACTCGCAGTTGACTGTAATAAAGGACCCTGCGATGTGGCGGTTGCTCCTGAATTCATGGCTGGAGTGCAGGTCGAGGCTAGAGTATATTTCGCACTTCAAAACCGAGCATGAGGCAAATTGAGGCGCCGTGGATTCAAGTGCATTATGTCAGGTCGGTGGGTTGGGCAGAGTCGAGTGCGCCAACTGCAGGTGGCATGTAAATGAAAAGATACGTGAGAGGTAAATACATGTGTGTGCGTGTGTGTGTTGATAAAGATAAAGATGCACTTGTTCACACAGTGTACCTTTTAGGTCTCTTATGATGCTCATAATGTTAAGAGCTGATTATGCCAATGGTGTAAGCTCTAATGGGAATTAGCCAGTCTATCACTGTAATGGTTGACAGGCGACAAACTACAACTAAGAATAGACAACATTTTAATTAATAGCCACAACAGACTGCACGATAATTGACAATAGTTTAATTAGAGACAACAAGCAAATTATTTCGAATGTCAAATTCATGACACGCTTGTAAAATTATGTCGATTAGGGTGCAGATTGTCTGACCTTGATTTAAGACTTTGCTTAGTGAGGCAATAAATTTGTTGTAAAATGTAAACAATAAATATTAAATCACTTTTTTTTAGTATGGCTGCATTTATATAAAATGTGTGATATTTAAAAACATTATTCTGTTTTAAAATTATGCTTAAAACTTTTGTTGTGGAAATTTAGTTTTTCTGTGGATACAAATAAAGTAAAGTTAGCCATGACACGTCCCAAATCTATTATGGTTTCAATTCGCAATTTAATCGTATGAAATGCTAACAAGAGACCAATATTTTCGTCACTTGTACAAAAAAAGGAATTACAATCCTTATAAATCCTATCATATCTAGAACTCTAAGCTTTCTTAAAAACCCATTTCATTTTTATACCCTGTACTAGTTTAGTGGCAATGTATGGAACACAAAGAAGTAGGCGTGGCAGACCCCTTAAAGTATATATATTCTTGACCACTATAAAGAGACGGGTCATTAAAGCTATGTCCGACCGCCTATCGTATGTGGTCAACATTTTTGATTTCATTCAATTATTACAATTTTTTTGTTTGAGTGCTTACAGCTTATTTTAGAATTGGCACACTCCAGGCCTCCTTTCGTGTTGAAACTTGTGCCATATTTACTTGATGTAATTATACAGCTTTACAATACCAAGCCGTCATTACTTATTCATTAAGCTAAGCAAATTTCAAAAACAATTTTTCGAAACACACCAAAGTTTCGAAACAAACAGCTTGTATGCAAAGACTTACACGTTCACACATTCATGATATTAGTTGCCTCAGATCAGTGTCAACTGTGAAATGTTCAAATAAATGATTCTAAAACTGCCCATTAGGCTATTCAAAAAAGATTAAAAACGCTTAAGTGCTAAACGCACTGACCCCTGGACTTAACAGCTTCATGTACGACGCAAAAGGTGTGAAAAAACCTGATCGTAAAACCCAAATACCTCATTTAAAATTCAAATTTTGGAGGCGCATAAATAAAATGCATTTAGCGGCAGTAATTGATTTGTTTACACAACACACACAAACACACACACGCCCCTAGACCAATGACCAGACACGACAACTGACCACAGAGCTCGCTGACCAGCGGCAATAAATGGACAATGGACAACGGACAACGGACAAGCAAACAAACAAACAGGGGGAAAGTCGCACTTTAACTAGGGAGAGACAGATTGAGAGGCCAACAGACAGACTGGACAGGACAGGACAGGAGGCAGGATGGTAAACTGACCAGCACTGACCGGTGCGACGAACCCTCCTCATTCCTATTGTTGTTGTTGTTATGCGAAGCAACAGATTGCACATACAAATCACTTCAATTACGGTCAGTTGATACGATTTGAAATGATACTTTTTTCCTATACCTTCGACTGACGCGTGTTCCCTTAGGTCAATCATGTTATTTCCGGTTTCATGTGCAAGGAAAAAATGAATATTGAAGTGTCATGGGCAAGTGGATAGATGCGTGCCAAAAAGTGCCCGCGGGAATATTCCACACATAAAAAGCAGACTGGCTTACATAACAGAAATTAACATGAGAGCGTAATTGAGTGAGGGTCAGTCAGGACCTGTGGCATGTCCACGTGTGTGAACAGGGGTTGGGATAAGTTGCTAGCTGTGAATACTAAAAGTATACAGGCATAAAGATGTTTCCTTTAAAGTATATCAGTTTTCTTTTTCTCCGTCCCACCAACATTACGAAAACGAACAATTTCAAAACTACCCTAAAAAGTAATTAAAAGCCATGGATGACATGTTTTGACTCTTGTCTCTTTGTATCTCTCCGTTGCGAATGGTAATCAAAGAAGAAAATACAAAATGTAAAAAGTCTAAGAGCACACAAGCAAAGCATATACTAAGCTACTTGCGTACATAGACGGGGACAGTTCCTTGGGGCATAATTTCTTATACATTTAGGCATTTTTCTTTCAGACATTGTGGATTGAAGGAAATGTACACGAAAAGGAAATTTTCATTAATTAAGTGCTCGAGAGAGAAGGATACAGGATGAAAAACTTGAATCGATTTTTTTAAGTCGATATATCATATCACATCAACTTTGAGCTGTAAAACCAACGCCAATCGTTACCGGTAATTACCAGATACAACAACATCAAACACGGTAGCTTATTTTGATCCAACAAAATCTGCTTATACCAAAAATATTTTAAAATCATGTTTCATATGCTTTCTATAACTGTGTACAAATGTGAGCCGAAAATTGGTTATTTCGATAGGGACAAATCTTATCAAAAACTAGTCGGTTACAGCTGTGTCAAATTCCCTTTTCAATTCTTTATTGCTAAGATATGTACATATAGTATGTATAATTGAGATTTGTGAACATCTGTCCGAAATTATTCAACGAATTTTCTGTAAAATATTAAATTATTGCAGAAAAAGTTGAAGAAGGCTTTCTATACACAGTCTAAGTCTACAGTTTTATGAATGACATAAAATACTCAAAGAGTGTCGGCGGAAAGAGCTTCAAGGAACATTAATGAACAAGGACTGATGAGCAGCCGGAGGGATAAGTATATCAAAGAGTTTTTGGCACCAAAATCGTTGATGGACATCTAAAGACGTTACTGATGTTATTGACATTTCGAATAGTTTAGTCAACAGCATTTAAATAGAACTCGGAATCTTCAAATCTCGTTTGATTGCACTTATTCGTGATCAATTTGCTAAAAACAAGACGCAAGTCATTCCACCACAACAGTTGAACCCTGATTTACTATAACTACATATGATACATGAGCTTGTTATAGCTAGTAAAAAAATTTAAAAGACTCCGAAGAGGATACAGATTTGACTCGATTGAGGAAATCCAAGCCGTATCAGAGAAGGTACTGAAGGCCATTTTAGTAAATAATCTTTCGGACAGAGTCGAGAATTGGAAAAGCGTTATCATATGATTTCAATGAGCAAATAAAGATTTTGAGAGTTATGATTTTTGTACGTACTATAAGTGGGGGCCTGGCATAGCTCGACGAGCTAGCACGAATTTCGTTCCTTGTGTTACCTACTTGGTTAGGATAACGGATAAAATTTAATGATAGTCCAGCCTATGAAAAATTTTAAATGAAGAATAATGACTCGAAAAAATGTAACTATTTATAACTTTAGGTTTACAAACTTCAAAATCAAAAAAACATGACTCTGTTTCACTTTTCAGAGAAGTAAATACATTAAGTGCAAACTGTTAGGCTTATTTAAATATTTATGAGCATGAGCAAATATCAGGCTCACTCCTTATGTCGCCTGGCATGCCAAAATATTGAAAAATGTATTAATAAAAAACGTCGCAATATTCCAATGGCGTGCATGTGAAGGAGTGGCGCCAACCCCAGATATCCATTGTGACGCAATTTGTTTTTGAAGAAATTGGAACAATTTCTCATAAGATATCTGTGACGCGAAATCTGTGCACAGAATACACACATACACACACATACACGAGATTCGAGCAAATCGAAAGGATATATTCTTCCGTACATGCACACGTACGCGCACACACCAACACACCAATACGCACAATGGCACACTCACACACACAGAGCGGCAGCTTATGTACGACAGCGGATTTTTCATGCGTGATGTGCGTGGAAATTTCCCCTTTTCGTCTATATACATGCGTATATTGTATGCGTATG